CTTAATAAATCCAAAAGTTGTTTGAAAATTCAGAACTATTTTTCTCAAATTGATTTTGAGCCAAACGCCAGACAAATCTTTATCGACCAACTTGAACTTATTTATAATATTATTCACAGGGTGCATCCCCAATGTTGGATAGGAACAATAAACTTCAAATGGTTTTAAATTCTAGCACGTTTGTGATCTTATTCTAATATTTCCAGGAAGGTGGCACGAATACTATCCTAAGCTACCAATTTTGACTCCTTGGTTGAAAGTTTAGGTGAAGGACAAGGCCAAATTAGATTACTATACTAAACTTGGAAGCTTCTCCACCGTCAACCACTGCAGAGCCGCCACAATGACGTGGTGTTCACCATCACAACCACCGCTTATTGTCACCGCAATTCAACAAAATTTATTTTTAACAACAAAAATTTTATCTTGAAAAAAATTTCAATGATCCTTTTTCAAAGAAGTAAATACGATTACAACGTTTTACAATATTAATTTGATCACTACAATGTTAACATTCAATTTTTCCAATTCGACGGTTCGATCTTTGATTTATCATTTATGGACACTGCAACATCATGGGATTATATAGCTTTAGAAGGACGTGGTTCAAATTAGGAAAAGCTTATCGTAGATACTGAGACACCCAAAGACGAGGAAGGATTTAGTAATCAGCGAAATACTTTGGGGGCATCTTCCATCCTCAATGCATCACATGACAGCGAAGGAGACAGAAAATGAAAATGACATGTAAACAACAAAACATAGATGCTACGGTTTGGATGAGATAACACTGATCGGACAAAATTGGAAGACATGGCGGTAAACTTCTTCAAGAGATAAAGCAATTGGTGTACAAAACAAAGTACTCTTATTAATTAAACAGCACACACGATTCCATTCCACTTAGTAATTCCCAAAGCAGATGAAATCAAATGTTTGACATTACAAACATATATCAGCACCAAAGATGTAATAACTCTCAACATTTATCAAAGTAAGCCGAGTTGTTGTACTGATCAAGTGCCACATAGAATTTTTACAAGTACAAAATGGACCACAAGAAAGGAGAAAATTGTTCAGAATAATATGAGACATAACGTCACACAACACCAAAGGAAAAAGCAAACTCTGCTGAGGGATTTATCAGTTTGGATCATATGTCTTCTTAGCCTAGGACTACTGCTACCTTCTAGACGATAAGAATTCGGATAAGCGTATAAAGTCGTCTCCGAATTCCCAAAAATCCTCGAGTAGACCATTTCGCCAAACATTCCTATCATCGGATCAATCAAATTTGTTGTCATGACACCATTCGGAAGCACAGGTGAAGCTGCATAGTTCTGAGAGTAGGGCTGATATGGTCGAGACTGTTCATAGTTTTGATGATGAAGTTGCCGAACCGGATGTGATTCCCCGAGGCTAGTGGTCGGGATTTGCATGTTACCGCCACATCTAGGACTCGGAGGCCTTTGTGGTATGAGAATACCAAGATGTGAAACTTTGTCTTTATATGGGTTCTTATTGTTTCCACGGCCATAGAGTGGAATTAAGGTTTTCGGTGAGATCTCTGCTTTGCAGACAGGACATTGTGAATGCTCATGTTCAGGCTTTTCAGAAGAGGCATTCTGTAAACTGATCCACCGGTAGATACAGGGCCAACAATAGAGGTGGCCACAGAAGGTAACCACTGGATCTTGCACTAAGTCCAAGCATATGTTACATTCAAAACCACCAGAAATATTAGTTTCAGACTCGTCTTCTGGAGAAGATAACGATTTCCATTTCTCTAATGCAGATTTTTCGTCATTATAATCACTTTGTACTGTAGCCTCCGGGAGATATTGTTCTGTGGCCATTTAGTTCGATTCAGACTTCTTACAGCTTTGGTGCCTGCACATAACATCATCACAGAAAGATAGTTAGAACTCGAAACCACTTTATTTATGCCCATCAAGAAATATGAGAAGAGACCAAATATCGAAGTACCAAAACGTTGGATATTCAGAGAACAGAAGCACGTTTTCCAAAGAATAAAATCAAAGCCAACATGCCTCTTATACTTCTAGCAATTGTTATTAAAAGGCAAGGCAAAAAAAATAGTGGTCCTAATGACATTAATAGATTGAACAAGGACATCACGAATGGGTTGATGAGAATGAGAAGATAATGATAAAAAGAAAACATATCTGCCACTTGTCTTTGCTCTGTCCCTAAGCTATTAAATTCCTGTTCTATATACAGGTATATGAAAATAAATGTAATAAATATAGTCGGTGAGACGTCTATTAATAATCAATTATGAAGCAAAACTCTAAATTTCCATTGCTTCGACTATGTCTCCATCGACTACCAACTTTCTTTTAAACTAACCCCACAATTTCCTGAAGAATGTTAAATAGAAACGTCATGCAAGGCAAATTAAACCACAAGGATACTTCTAGAAGATATAGTTAATGAGGATCCCCAGAATAATCAAATATGGGGATCCATAAAGTCATTGTTTTCATAAACCTCCTTCCACAGTTTGCTGAATTACCAGAAGAAACAGAAAGGAAGAAGTCATGACCACCACAAACTTTGTAGAGATCAAAAGGACTCTTCACGCAAAATTAAAACATCAGGAAAAACATTCAGAAGTTTTCGAAGGGATTAAGAACCCAAACAGAAATGAACCATCATAAAGGCTGCAAAATGGTGATAACTATAATAAGAGTGAACCTAAGAACGTGATAACTAGTTCTTTTTGAAGTTACTCCTAAAATTAATTATTTCTAGGCTGTGTCCCTGTTGCATCTGAAGGATATCGTATGTAGCACTAAGAGTTCGAGTTTTGAGCTGAACTTAACATGGCGTAATAACTTCAGCTTGGTCCTTAACACCGATGCCGGCCGATCTCTCTCTTTTAAAGATTCTATTTTGGCACAGCAAAGCTTCAAAAATCCAAATTTAGTACAACAAATGGAAATTATAAGGGGTAGATAACAAGAAACCATAGCTCTGATCTTGAAACCAAAAAACAAGCTGCACCACCTACAAGTATAATCCTTATTTTCACATAAAGAATTCATGAAGCATCAAAATCTCCAGGAAACACGAAATCTGAACATCAACACGATATTTAACATATCACCTTCTCCCAAGCCCATCAAGATAGGGGATAAAACGTTTCAAAACTGTAATACACAAATTCACAACTCATCATAATCAAGCAACAGAAGTATAATAAATTAAGCCCCGTATTGTTTAATTTAAGATTTCACACAAAAATCATCCCCCTTAGAACTAACAAGAAAGAGAAAATCGGTCACATAAACCCAAGACATGAAAGAATTTAACGCACGTAGAGAGAGACTCACAGAACAAGAAAAAAGCCCAAAAAAACTCCATGTAATAAACAAAAGAGAAATCTGTGAGAAAACCCTTCAACGGAAAAAAAAAAAAAAA